TAGCCAATTTCAGTGAGTAATACAACTTCATTCGCTGACATAAAACAAGTTTTATTCATGAAATTAGACCCTATGTTCCCACAGTTCTTGACCGAGTGCTCACGTTTATTGAAACCTCGCATAAATCAAGAAATAAGTACATGTACATGTAGTACAAAGTGTACGAAAGCATTCCTTTATTTGACCTTATAATACGATCACAAAAACAACTTTTTTAAATCTTTTTTGGGGTGGACCTCGGGTAAGCGCCCACCCCCAATTTTTCCCGATTTTGTACGTTCAGGCCCCTGGGCGCATGTCCGGGGTAATACGGTAAAACAAAAAAGAAGTTTTGACCTTGCAAGTGTAGGTATTACCTTTATATGCTTTTATATGTTTGATAAGTTATTCACATTTATTACAGTATATCGGGTGAACTAGAATACATCACTTCTAAAATGGAAAATCCAATTTTTATAATAATAATCTTCATTGCATTCTTAGAAATACAATCTGTAGTAATAATACAAAGTTTGACAGGGCATTGGTTTTTACTTTAAGGCAGTTTTGTTTCCTTATAGAAAAAACTCTCCCATTTTGTTTTCCAATTCTGTTTTCATAATGGTATAAAAACTGTTACTGTCAGAATTTTCGGTTTCACTTGTATCAATAGATTGAACTGAGTTTTCAGTTTTAATAAAATGTAATTTATTTATTATACATCTGTCCCTGTATCGCCATAAGTACAGCGTGCCATAATTTTTTTATTACACTGGGTATTTTCATTCTACCATATTAGGAAATGCAAATTCCAAATATAGACAGATTACGCATGTAAGTGCCCTCTAATAAAAACAACCTGCTATCAGGTTGGATTTATCTTTGGGAGAAAAAGATGTATAATAATAAGGTTATTACAAGGATTCCACAAAGTATGTACTCAGACAGTACACAGTCTGATTGATCTCCGCCGTGACCCTTGCTGTACTGTCTCTGTGCATACCTTGCTGTACTGTCTCTGTGCATACCTTGCTGTACTGTCTCTGTGCATACCTTGCTGTACTGTCTCTGTGCATACCTTGCTGTACTGTCTCTGTGCATACCTTGCTGTACTGTCTCTGTGCATACCTTGCTGTACTGTCTCTGTGCATACCTTGCTGTACTGTCTCTGTGCATACCTTGCTGTACTGTCTCTGTGCATACCTTGCTGTACTGTCTCTGTGCATACCTTGCTGTACTGTCTCTGTGCATACCTTGCTGTACTGTCTCTGTGCATACCTTGCTGTACTGTCTCTGTGCATACCTTGCTGTACTGTCTCTGTGCATACCTTGCTGTACTGTCTCTGTGCATACCTTGCTGTACTGTCTCTGTGCATACCTTGCTGTACTGTCTCTGTGCATACCTTGCTGTACTGTCTCTGTGCATACCTTGCTGTACTGTCTCTGTGCATACCTTGCTGTACTGTCTCTGTGCATACCTTGCTGTACTGTCTCTGTGCATACCTTGCTGTACTGTCTCTGTGCATACCTTGCTGTACTGTCTCTGTGCATACCTTGCTGTACTGTCTCTGTGCATACCTTGCTGTACTGTCTCTGTGCATACCTTGCAGTATAATTGTAATAAACTCATATTATTCTGATTATATTCTAAACACAAGATTGGCTCATTTCGTGTAGCTACATTGTGGCAGCAATGTTTGGCTACTGGAACAGGTTAGAATGTAACATTGGTGTTGATATAACTCTGTGGTCATTCCCTGAAAGGTGTTAATTGGGCAGGGGATTATAACAAAGGCTATATGAAAGGAACACTCAGTTGTATATCCGTGTTTTCTTGCACATACAAAGTAAGTGAATGTTTATACTGACTTTGTCATTTTAACAAAAGCCATACATATACACTGTAATCAAATGAAATGACAGATCTTTTAGTGGGGTCAATCAACAAGACACATATATACCCTATGAAACAGAGGTCAATGTAGTCAAATGAATTTATAATAATATTAAGTGATGATAAATATTGTTTGAATACTAAAAAGTAACTTAATTTGTAATACATGTATTATTAATGTTAAAGTTGGTCACCTGATATCTTGACATTAATGTGTTATTCACAAATAGTAAGTAGCAAAACACAGGGTTCTACCTAAAGTTAATTTAACTGGGGAACAAGTGTGAACAGAATAACCTGTTCTCGACCCGGTAACAAGTGTGAACAGGCTAATCCGGTCAGTTAGTTTAGGTCAGAGTCAGAGTCAGATGACTGGTCTTAACTCTGTGTTTTCAACCTTGAGATGATGCAACAAGGTAAATGAGATAAGGTTAACATAACAGTGATCCAATGATAGCTGAATAAAATCTAGGCAAGGTCAGGTTACAAGAAAAGCTTTAAAAAACGCATACTAATTTAATTTATTGTATCATATGACCCAATTCTAAAGGTAAGTGAATGTGCTAAAAATAAAACAAATAGAACATTAAATATAATACATGTCTGACTGGTTGCTTACAATACAATTAATATAATAATATTTTGTTCAGTAAATCACTATTTTTCATATCTAATATGCCAACAAAATTTGAATACTATCCTCGTAGGAAAAACAATATTGTGAGTAGGCAGGTATGGTTTTCATCAGATTTTTTATGTAATGCACTATATAGACAGTCTAGTTTTGGTCAATCAATGTGCATGAAGTCTAATAAAATCTAATGAAATGTTGGCAGAGATGTCTAACTTAGACATTTTATCGATAATATCTGAGAACGAACTGTCCCAATAGTTGCCCAGACAGAACTGTCTAACTTACACATTTTTAGACAATGTTAGACAATGTTAGTCGATATTATCGATAATATCGGAGACAAACAAACTGTCCCAATAGTTGCCCAGACAGACCTATCTAACTTAGACATTTTTAGACATTGTTACACGATATTATTGATAATATCGGAGAAAAACGACATTTTTAGACATTATTAGACATTGTTAGACGATATTATCGATAATATCGGAGAAAAACGAACTGTCCCAATAGTTGCCCAGACAAACCTGTCTAACTTAGACATTTTTAGACGATAATATCGGATAACGTTAAAAAGTGCAATGTCGCGCCTTCCTCTCAATGTGTAACACTTTATAACTTACAACTGTGTAAAAAAAAAATGTTAAAAAAATTAAAATGGCGTATTTGCATTATTTTTCAAATAACACGAAACATGGGGCACCCACATGTCAATTAATAAAATCTGGAACAAAAAAGAGACAGTACAAGACGGTGCCAGAAAATGTCCAAAAATGGGAGAATTACAGACATATGGAAAATATGAAAGCTAAAATGTACAGTCACATTTGATATTAACCAGCAGTCTGTATGATGAAAAATTTGATGCAGTTTTTAAGAAATTTAGATACACTTAATAATAATTCAAACAAATCAAAAAAACATGCCCAAACATCTTGATTCAATGCAAGACTTTCAAGTTACATGACAGCTTTTTCCCTTGATCAGATTTAGATATGATGGATATTACAAATCTAAAACCATCGCTACCCATCTTTGTATATTCATGAGACTACAGAGCAATGCTTTACGGTACAGTTAGAATAAAAAAAAAACACAGATTTTAAATCAAATTTGTCATTTTAAAGCAAGTTCAAAGACGAAAAATAATGTTTCAATAGGTCATTTGCAAAATAAAATCGAGAAGGGGGTGGGGGCAATGTTTAAAAACAGAATTTTCAATTATTGAGGTCCTGAGAATTGTAATACATATAACAATGACAAGGGTCAAACGAGTATTTACCTTATTTACCTTTATCTTATTTGATTACAAGCAAGGCAAAATAAGATTTTACTTTCTGCTAGCAAGATCTTTAATATTCCATACACAGCAAGGATTAGAGAAATACATACCAAGGGGTAATTTTAACACAAACATAAATGTTTGAAAAGGTTATATCCCTCTTGCAACAAAAACAAAAAAATATAGTACTGTAAGTGCATTAGTTATTTACTGGTTTGTAATTTCGCCAAGTACAATTTGCTAAATTAAATCCATGTGAACATGTACTACAGTAGAATAACTTATTTTTCCCCTGCCAAGTTCATGCTAAGACCCAGTGAAAACAGCGTAACAGTGAAATTAATTGTCAATGAAAATAAAGTGTTCTACAGTAATTTATTTGTAAAATAAAATTTTAAATTGTAAGGAAAGAAAGACTGATATATGAACATAGGAATAACTATAGTAAAATACTTTATTCTAATTTTCAATGAAAATACATTTTGGCTGTTTTGAATGAAGGTCATTTTTACTGAATTTTAGTGAGTTGAATGTAAAATATAGGAGGAAAGGTATTTCACTGACACCCCCCCCCCCTTGCGGAAATAAATATCGAGTGAAAATAAAGTACTTTTACAGTAAACCACCGAGTTGAAAATGAGGTCATACAAAACGCGGTTTATTGACATTTATGTAGTACACCAACCCGTTTAAGAGACAGTATTCATTACGTCGTATAAGCGCAACACTGTCACGCATTACCGGTACACGGCCCCCGAGAATGGCACGAGGAAATTATCCATATATTACTAATCGAACGGCATGTGTTCTAGTTTTTTTGGGGGGGTCATTCGTGAAATGGCCTTCTTTGAAAGGATATATGTAATTATATGTAAATTAATAATTACATGACCCCGTGCTGTCCGGCAAGGGGCAGATCATCAATGGTAATATTCCACGCAAAGGAGACCCGGGAAACGAAAATGTAAACACTGAGAACCTTTCTTTCACATTCACACGCTCTAACCTGGATGAATGTTGGTCAAACTGGAAACGATACGCTGAATGGGTTTTTTACAGCGTACACAACGGCTGTAGTGGTGATCACGAGTTATGTGTAGTCGCACAAGGTACAAAAGCATGACGATGGTACGCCATGTTGGAGTCTCGTATAAATATAGTATGCACCACAATTCAACATAAAATAATGCAGAGAAAAGTGGCGTACTTACGTAATAGACGTAGCACAGTGGATTCACACGTCCTTCAGCACCATGATTACGGCTAGAATGTAAACGGAAAGTCCCGACTTCGTTCGTAACGATTAGTTCAAATCAGAGTAAAATGTTAACATACTTCCATTGCCGACTTCCAGTTCATTCGAATGGATGTCGTTGGTGGCGCACTAACCACCACATGAAATAAATCACTTGGATTGAGTCATCTTTTTTCCTTTGAATAGTGAAAGTTTATTTTGACAGTAATCTTCCGTACAAGCAATGCGTTCAAATACAAAATTACACAAATCAGTAATTTGGTATGTCACATTTATTTGTTATATAACAAAACAAACAATTCACAAATTTCAATTTCTGATATTTCTGTAAAAAAAACTTTGAATTCTTGGAAACATGAAAAAGATAAATATACATACACTTAAGACTAACGTTTCAGTTAATGTTTTTAACAAAAACAAGTTGACCTAAACATGTTGAAATCGAAAAGTGCCACTAGATGACGCTATACACGTCACTTTTACAGAGATGACACGTCAATAAAACACACTGTTGCATTTTAATTAGAATTAAACAACTTGTATGAAGAATGTTTTAAAATAAATGTAAAATAATAAAAAGAAACTCTGGAATCTATGAAATAGAATATTGTGGGTGTCTGTCGTTTTTACGCAGAGTTCCTATAGTTGCATTCATAATAAAATGTGCAATGTCAGAATATATGTTTACTGTAATTATTTTACTTATTCACTTTGTTTTTAATTTTGCTATTTTTTCTGGTATTTCTGAATTTCAGCAAAATTATAAAAGCACAGATAGTTTTACTGGAATATCAGTGAATTTGAAACCTTGTGATCGCAGTAAAAAAACAATGCTTCAAGAGGATTAGATCCAGTGAGTGCTGTGTAACTTTCTAAACAACAGGTGATTTGAAAGAAAACATGGAATTTCTTACAGTCTATATCTGCACAAAATGTAATAAGTCTATAGGAATGCTGGCAAATTAGCATATCTATGTAAGACTAAAAAACAAAGGTTTCAGTTTGTGTCTCTTAACAGGGAAGTTTGAAAAATGGTGTGGTTTTTTTTTTTTGTATTAAGATTATTGAATACTGCAACAAGATCTGAGTTCAATGTTGAACATTTAATGAGTATGAAATTTGCTTTATTAGTAATGTATGCGTTTCTGTTAGTTAACACATCGGCAGCAGAAAGCCTTCAAGGATGGCCAAAATTAATGGTAAACACCAGTGTCAGCAGGCCATGTGTGTCTATGGTCAAAATAATTTACAGATCCACTATACAACAATTTTTGGTTCAAGTGTGCTTCTATTGGAGATAAGCTTCTAATAGAGCAAATGTGATACACATGCATTAAAGAAATACTATCTCTCTCAATTGATTTTGATCAACAGAAAACAGCAGAATTTGCAATAAACATTTTTCCATTTCACACAGTTCACAAGCAGGTGATGGTTTTCAAGTGACACATGTTGACAAAAAACTAAACTTTTTTGTTAAATGTTTCATTAATTTGACTTTTACTTTAGAATGTAATCTAATATTTTCTTTTTATGAACATAATCAAACCACAATTTTGAAGTCAAGTGTGACTTATATGCATCTATTATGATATGGACGCAAGCATGCAGAAAGTGACAGACAAACAAATTGTCAGACGAGGGCAGCAGAATCTTAGGGGGGGGGGTCTACCAATCATCATCAGATTCATCAGATTCATTTGTTTTGTTCTGAACTGAGAATGTAGATCGTGTCTGTGGTTTGGGTTCACTTTCTAAAGATGACTTCACAGCTCCAGCTTCTGATAGTTTCCATTCCAATTCTAAGTGAAAAAAAGATACAAATATAACATATTATTCACAGTTTTACTAAAAACCAAAAATCAACATTCTTCTTTACAGCAGCATTTGGTACATTGTTACAGCTCTGCATATCATTAGCATAAATTTACATATAGAAACAACCCATGTCATGGATAAGATACATTAAATTAGGTTAGATACCATTTTGAGCATTTTATTTCTTAAAACAGAATTTATTCTCCAATTTATGAAACACTATAAGAATATCAGCAACACTTGTTCGCTGAATATTGATTTTGATTTGGTATAATTATTATTTTGATTAATTAATATCAACTGACAAATAGAGATTAGATTATCAGTAAACATTGATGTTGACAAACACTGATAGCAATCAAAGTTAATTATAATAATACATACATGCATAGTTATTGATATCTTAGGTAGAAAAGACAATTATTTGTGTGAACACTAATACATACAGAGCTGGGAGACAGAAATCAAACATATAGTGTTATACTGGATTCTGCCGTAAATTCGCCCACCTGAAAAATCGTCCTGGGCGGTTTCATGGCTGGTGGGCCCTTATTTGGGGTTCAAATTTAAAAAAAATTATCATCAACTATTTTTTTTAGGGGACTTATATTTTCATTTTCAACACCGGCAGTTGGACCACCTAAAACAAAAGAAACTATTGCAGAAGCTAATCTAAGATTGTATACATTTTTTTCTAGCTGGATTAAAAAGTAGACTAACGATTAAGGAACCTTGTGCGCCAAATACAATTATTTTGTTTCATTTTATTAGTAACGAAAGTATATTCTAAAAGAAGTTCAAATAACAATGAACACAACTGCATTGCTTAGTAGCGAATGATCGCAGTAGCACAATCTGGTCATGCTGCGTTCTACAATTGTTGATTATTACCTAGTAGTGATTATAGTAACATGCAAAAAATAAATTCGTTGAGTTGTTATGAAATGCAAAAAAATTCAACTTATTCCATCGTAAAAGAATTTTCTGCTCGATGCTGTAGAAATAAATATCCACAATGTTTTGACCCTAGATGATGTTCGTTGACCTGACAGGTTAAACCAATAATTAACCAATGAAAACGATGGATGATGCCAACGTGTTCAAATTACCATAGCACATTTAAATATGTTAATGTTATTGAACGCAGCACGGAAGAGATTTGCCGATGTTGTTGTACGATCTTTTGGCTTAGATTTTGATGGGAAAGTGGCATGATTTGTTTTTAAATAAAAAAATTATTTGTTTTCAAAAGATAAACTGAGCATTTGAAGAATAATTTAATGTTATTTACAGCGATATCAGCTTATTGTCGAAACGAAGCTTACCCATTCATGCTAGTCGCAATAAACACCAATACTCTTGAATAGACGTCAATGACTACGGCAAAACTTTTAGGCATCAGAAAAGATTAAAATAACACCTTAGAAACTGCCGAAAAATCACCCTTGGCGGTTTCTCGGTCCCATTTTATTTTTTTTAATAAACCTGAACTGCCTTTTAACGGCCCTGAGCGAATTTACGGCAGAATCCAGTATGTAGTGTCTTAAAGTCAAATATCATTTTATGATGACTCGTACTGCTACTGTGATTACCGGGTATACAGAAGAGGTTCACTACCTACTGGTCTCATTCTGAAACAGGAAGTGCTAGAGGGCGTTAGATTCATGAAAGGGGGATCAAGAAGTACCGTTAAAGTCCTATTATAAACCGCGGTTTATATTACAATGTATCAATTTAAAAATTGGGATCAAAAGCTCAAGTTCGGTGTGCGGTTTCTATTACGTACATATTGCAATCACTAAATGGGCATGGTCATTTTTTGTCCACAACACATGCACAAAACAA